GGAGGGAGGACTTGGGAAGGCTGACAAGCAGGGCGTTTGCATAGTCGAGCCTGGAGGTGATGAAGGCATGAACAAGAGTTTCAGCGGCCTGAGGGGTGAGGTAGTGGCGGAGTCGGGTGATGTTACGGAGGTGAGGGAAGGCAGAGCGGGTCATGGCTTGGATGTGGGGAAGAATGATGAGGGGAGAGGTGGGGGTGGGATCAAGGGAGCAGGTAGTGGGTTGAGTTTGCGAACAATCGCGGAGAGGGAGGAAGGAGAGATAGGATCGAAACAGTATAAGGGGGGATGGGTGGGGGCTGAGTCATGAGGGAGAGGTGATGTGGGGGTGGCTGTGGATGGGGCAGAGGAGGCTGAACATATCCCCTCATTTTTGGTTATGAGGAAATTCAGCATCTCCTCACAGTTGGAGTTTGAGGAGAGGATGGGCTAGGCGTGGCAAGGTGGACGGAGGAGATGGTTTGTGATGGAAAAGAGAAGCCGGGGGTTGTCCTTTGCCTCCAAGATAGCCTTGGAGTAGAAGGAGGATTTGGCGGAGGCAAGAGCACAGCGGTAGATCTTGGTATGGTGAAGCCAGATCAGCCGATGGACCGTTAGTTTGAAATTGGTCCAGGCGCGTTCGGCAGCTCGCACTTGTGCCTTAAGGGAACGGAGATGGCTGGTGTACCAGGGAGATTAACGGGAGTATGAGGCAGTCCGGGAGGTGAGTGGGGCAAGGGAGTCCAGAATGGAGGAGAGGGAGTTGTGGAGAAAAGAGAGTGAGGAGGGGAGATCGGTCAGGGAGGGCCAGAGGTGTAGGATTTCAGATGACTCGAGGGCAGTGGAGAAGGAGGAAATTGTTTTCACAGACAATATGTGATAGTGGAGGGTTGAGAAAGTGGAAGGGTTACGGAGGTGTTGATGGAGATGAAGTGGTGGTCCAAGATGGCTTTATCGATGATGGTGATGTGTGAGACGGTGAGGCCCCGGGTGATCACCAGGTCAAGGGGGTGGTCACGGACATGGGTGTGGGAGCGGATGAGGAGGGAGAGGTTAAGGGAAGAGAGGAGGGAGGGAGAAGTCGGCAGAGGTAGAGCAGGAGGGGGTGAAGTAGAGGTTGAAGTCGCCTAGGATTAGGAAGCGTTCAGAGCAGAGGGAGAGGGAAGATAGGAGGATGGAGATGTCTGAGAGGAAGGTGGAGGAAGGCTTGGGGGGACGGTAGACAAGGAGGATTTTGAGGGAGAGCCTGGAGGGGTGGTAGAGGGTAAGGCGTTCAAAGGAGGAGAAGGTTCCGGGGAGTAAGGGGAAAGGCCTAGAGGGAACCGGGAGATGAGAGCCACACCACCATCACGGCGATTACGACCTTCACTAACCTTACCAATTCAGACTCTCCCTTCGCTCAGTGAACCCTGGTCATCTTCATGTCCCCTGTCGTATCCATTTTAGCCATTCTATCCCTGCTCTCTGAAACTCCATCTTGGAGTCCCTCCATCTTGCTCACTTCCTCCTTCAAGACACATGTCAAAACCATTTTTTGCTTACAAATCCTCAGTGACTACACTTCACAGTAAAGTCCTGTGAAGCAATTTGAATGTCGCTGAGACGTCAAAGGCTCTATATCAAATGTAAGGTTTATTTTATTATTATTACTTTGTTTATTATTATTAGTAGTAACAATATTATTAATAATAATAACAATAATATTCCTTACAATTGATATAGTACTTTATCATACCATAGAGACATCTCAAGCATGTCACAGGGTATACTGTAAAGTATATATACTTCCCAAATGTTATATCAAATATATATGTAAAGTATATATAAAGTGGATTGACATGTAATTTGTGGATGAAATAATGAATGAATAATCACATTCCTTTCTAAATTTACCTTGCAGGCATATTGCTTGTACCTTTCTGATACATGCTGTTTCAATCGTTATTTTATCCGATGTATAATTGCCTTCTTCCAACTTCCGTAATTTGGACACCAACTTTCTCTTTGAAAAAATACCGATATCACTACCCACTGAGTCCATCACCACTTCTGAAGTTGTGACTTTGACCCATATCGCAGCATAACATTGTTGCACTTATGTTATGGCCTAATCGGTTTATTAAAGTACTTTCTAAATGTTAAACTGACTTGATTGAAGGTGCTTCATCAATGACAGCAAAATCTTTTAACAGCATTTGTTTGCTCAGATCACAGATCTTATTCCACTATGAATAAGATTGTACCTATGGAGGAAAGGAGTTATAATCCAATGAATTGTGGGCCCCATGTTTCTAATGTTTATTTATCTAATAGTGGAACTTGATTCGGCCAATGCACCATGTAACAGACAATAATGTTCCCATTTTAATAAATTGTGTGACATGAGTAAGCTGTTCTTCTGTGTAATAACCATTGCAAAATAAAAATTAACTTTCTCATAGCTTCTCTTTAGCTTCTCAAAATTAAAATTGCCAAGTCCACCTCTGCAGAAGTAGGAATAAAACAATTACTGAAGGAGGCCATTCAACTCATTAAGCCTGTTCCACTGGTTTATTACAATCTTGGCAGTTGTTTTAATCCCAATGCTTTACCTTTTTGTCATACAACTTACTACCTCTACTACCCAAGTATCTTTCTGCCCCTCTTTTAAACATCTGTATTGATTCCGCCTCTGCAGCTTTCAAGGGAGAATGTTCCATAATGTCACAGCTCTGTGTGAAGAAACACTTCCTGATTTCAATTCTAAATATCTGGAACAAAACGCAAAATACTGCAGATGCTGGAAATCTGAAATCAAAAACAGGAGTTGCTGGGAACACTCAGCAGGTCAGGCAGCATCTATGGAGAAAGGAAAGTGAATCAACATTTCAGGTCCACAACTCTTCGTCAGAACTGACTTCAGTTCTGATGAAGGGTTGTGGACCTGAACGTTGACTCACTTTCCTTTCTCCATAGATGCTGCTTGACCTGCTGAGTGTTCTCAGTGACTTCTAAATATCTTTGGTCTGTTTTTAAGGCTTACAATGGATCATTCTACAGGGGGAAGAGGCATTCACCATCTAACCTGTCAATTCTTTCATTATTTTAATTATCACAATCAAATTACCCTTTATTCTCCTTTGCTGTAAGGAATATAAGCCAGTCTACCAAACCTCCATGACAAATTGAGTTAATAACGAGTAGGAAAGCATAATATAAACAGTATTACCTGTACTATTCATGTGTCCAATCTCTATTACAGTTTTACAAAAGAAAGTTGTTTCGTGCACAGAGTTTTAGAAACAATGAATTCCTTATTGAATTGGAGATAAGCAGCTGAACTGAACAAAAGGACCACAGATAGGATTGTCCAGTACTTTATCTAATCCACAGTTCTGTATATATAAGTCCATTAATGTTGTCTGATTGCTCATTCCTTTAATGAAAGGAAAACACATTTCTCTTATGTTTAAAGGGGTCTATGCCAGCTGTGCATATCTGTTCTTTGTCAAACTGTGAATAGTAAGATTCAAATTGAATGCTGTCCCTTCACAACAGATTTTTATAAACCATGTGTAGTTATCTCATCTTTTTTTTGCTAGTGAGGCCAAACAACAATAATTTGCAATTATAATAACATCCTTCACACAAGGTAGCATCTCAAAGCGCCAAAGGTTAACACTAGCAATATGCAGTGGACTTTTCAATTTTACTGGTTAGCAAATATGAATGAACGTTCAGATAACTGCTGTAGTTTCACACATATTTTTGCTGTTACTAAATTCCTCATCCTTCATCTTTCAATTATTTCTCAAACTGATAAGTTATTTTCACACCAAAATCAACCATTTTTGGTACATATAAAACATGTATTTATGAATATATATTTCATATGAAGAGATGACAAAACAATTGAGAAATAATTCAAAATGATTACAATTGGTATTGCAATAAAAGTATTTGTACCTAAGTAAGTGCAAATACATTTGCACATTGCTATATGCCACATTTATAGAGTCTGGCAAACATTTGCAAGCAAGGCTTAAAGCCAAACCATTTAACGTGCTTCTCTTTGTATGTGTGTGTCTGTCTGTGTGTCTGTGTGTCTGTCTGTCTGACTGAGTGTCTCTGTCCGTATAAATGATACCTGTGTTTCTTTTACTTCACCCTTGGTAACTTATAATGCACTGGAGATCTCTGTAATTAGGTAGTCTTAGTCCTCAATACTGTACAGCAGCTTATCACACATTCGAGATGTCTCAAAGCGCTTTACACTGTAAAGTGAAATGAATGTATATTTTGTGGGCGAAACATGCCCTTCTGTTACGTTTAGAGGAGGAAGTTTCTCCTTGTGTCCTGGCCAACAATTACCCAAATAAAATTGATCATTCATTCTTGGTTGTTTGTGGGACATTGTTGTGCGTAAATTGACTGCTGTACGCAGTCACTCCTCTTTGCATTATATTCTGTGAAGAAGTTTGATATAGGCCTTTCACATCTCCTGACATGAAAAGTCTATATCAAATGTAAGGNTTTTTTTATTATTATGATGATGATATCATTATGGTATTGGTGGAAATTTTCTTTTCCAAACAAGTTGAAAATCATCCCAAATTGCATAACACTTGGATGATAACAATTAAATATTCATTATTTTCCACACTGAAAACAAATTTTAAAATGTTGAAATCAATAAGTCAATAGAATTATAATTTCAAAATACTACAACAAAGTTGCTGCTAAATTGACTTATCCTTCATGTCATGATTTTGTGAAAACTTCAAATGGATCACAACATGCAATCATCAGTTGACATAGGCTGATTCTTATATCCTATAACCCAGGAATTAAACACTGCTTTTACTCACTCACAGAGAAGAACTACAAGACACCCGTTCCACAAAATGCTTCTCACTCTTAACACGTATTGTGCATGATTCCCAAGATAGTCATACAGATAACATCTAAACTATATAATGTTGTTAAGCCATCATCCAAGCCACACAACAAAGCATTACATTTATTTTGTCCTGTTTTCTGCACAGATACAAGTGTCTGATCGATACAACTCTAGGGGATCGGAAGAAGTTTTCTGCAGAAGAGAAATGTCGCCACATCCTACAGCAATGTAAATTACAGGGCTGGCAGGTCAGTGATTATAAAACAGTGATCCATACCCACTTGTGGTGAGTTCATTGCTATCAGTGGGTCAGCGAAGCAGAATGACATGGGTATACCATTAGATAAATTGGAATGGTAAACATAGCACTCGGAGAGAATGACTCATTCCTACATTTCGCCCATGCTGTTGTTTGCTGCTGCAGATAAACTCACGAATATAATGTGCAGACTTTGCAATATTTCCATCAATTCAAATTAACACAAGAACAGGCAATGGTCTGTGGTATCTAACAATCACAATTCAACTTTTAAAAGTATTATATGATGCTGTTTATTAGGGGGATCAAAGGTAGAATGAATGGTATGTAGAAAACCTTAGGTAGAAGTTTTTTTCTACAGGTAATAGAATCCATCATCAAAAATAGTGTGTTGATCCATTCCTTTTTTTTAAAAAAAATGCATTTTGGTTCATCTCCATTTTATTCAATAATTTGTTTTAGCTTGTTCTTTGCTAAATACAAATCAAAGGACTTTTTAATCCCCAATCCATGTGTTTCTTTTGCTGTTTATGGTCCCTCCACAGAACAATACAATCTAAATCTATGAGCAGATATACAGTTTATTTAAAGGGTCATTAAGTCTCTAGCAGCCTTGAATGTTTTATTCACTGTGACTGTTAGACTCTTCTGACTGTAATCGTGCAAAAAAAAGATTTTCAGCTCACACCAAGCTCACTAAAATGGAGATTACAGCAGAGAAACTGATTGGGGCTGATCTCACTGTGAATATAAAAACATTGTGGTATTAAGTCATTTTTGTGCAATGTACAGCATTAAACAAAATGTTCTTCCTTTAAGAATTATAATGCCATTATATTGTGTGAGCCTTCCTTTCAACCCTCCTCCAGCAGTAGCTGTCTCTCAAACATTTCTGTACGTCTGTGAGTGTGCGTCTCCCTCTCTTTCTGCTCGCTCTGTTTCTGCATGGATCTCTGTATCTCATTGTCTGAGGCAAATTATTCATTTAATATTTTCATTTAATATTTAATATTCCTTTAATATTTCTGTAATTTCCTTATTATCTGCTGTGAGCTTATCCCTTTCTCCCCTTCATGATCTTATCCCTATATTCACCATTATTTTATTGTTTAATTTTATAATTTTTACTATGTTCTCCTGAAAGTTACTCTTTGCCTTCCTAATAATCTTTTTAACCTCTTTCCTAAGTTTACTATATTCACTCCTCTTTTCCTCTCTGTTATCTATTCTAGACTTTTCAAATGCTTTTTTCCTTAGACGAAGCTTTGTTCATATTCTCCTGAACCTTTTCCATTGTACTTAAAAATCTTCCATTTTAATTTAATAATAATAATAATCCTTGCATTTGATATAGCGCTTTTCACGTCTTCTAGACGTCTCAAAGCGCTTCACAAAATATACTGTAGTGAATTGACCGTATATTTGTGGGCGAACATGGCAGCCAATTGCGCACAGCAGTGTCCCACAAACAGTCGTAGATTGAAAATGACCAATTTATTATTGTTTTTGGTTTTTGGAGGGATTATTATTAGGTGTGTGGAGTAAGGAAACTTGCCCAAGGTTTCGCCCTCTGCCTGGAATTGAACTCAGGTCTCTCGCTTGCAAAGCGAGTGCTCTCACCACTAAGCTACAGGGCTCCACATTTTTGCTCAACATCTTTGTTTGCCAATTCTTCCCTCCAGTCAACTTCAAACACTTCATACCTCATTCTATTATTTTGGTGGCCTTGATGATGTGTGTCAGCAATTGGATTTCTCCCCAATAAATAAGCACTGCCAATGTCAGTGACTTTATTAAACAGCAGAATCTCTTTACCTCTCGCATCCGATCAACTGGCCCTTCCTCTATCCCTCCATCTTGCTCCCTCCTTTCCCATCTTCAGGTTGCACCTGAAGACCTTCCTCTTCGACCATGCCTTCAGTCATCTCCAACCCGGCTTGCGTCGTGCTCCGCCACTATCAAACACTCCGGGACACTACCCTGCATTAGGGGCGCTATATAAATGCAAGTTATTGTTGTTGGAATTCAAGGAGCTCCACTGATGGTTTTGACAAAGTTGCTGAAATTGTGTAACTCCCTGCCTGCCCATTGACTCGTATATTTTTTACCAACTCAAATCTGCTTCCTACATGTGCAGTTACAGAGTGAAGCTTTATTATCCTGTGTTTTGGGCCAAGCTCAGAATCAGCATGCATCATGAAGTGAGCCTTCCTATTGTAATGGGTTCATACCTAAAAATCCTATTTCCTTAGCTTCTAAACAAATCGTGAATCATTTGAGCACATTTCTGGTTTAACTCTGTCATATATGAAAAGACAGAACTCACAAAAATCTTTCCCGAACTGCTGTGATTTATTATTACTCCCTTTGGTAATAAAATACAATTTACATTTTTAGAGCACCTTTCACATGGGGAGGACATCATAAAAAAGCTCATTTACAATGCTAAATGTGTACCCTTTGTTTATCTACCATGGCTCCTGCCCACATAACCATGGTCCTTGCCTTATTACCCTCCCTTTTAGCTGAGATGTTCCACAGAGATCTATGACACATAGGCTGAATTGTGCATACTTATTAAAATAATAGCAATTGCTGGGAATTGTGTCCAGAATAATGTTTCTGCAAAGTGAGCATCTTGTGCACCACATATACTGCAGAACAATACTGATTATATCCATTAGATTAATTGCCTTTGGATTGCATTCCTGCTTTTCTGCTCCACTTTACATTAATTTTCAACAGGGCTGTTCTCCAGCTGTATGTATGTCATTCTAGAGCTGATTGAAAGTGTGTTTTGATATGTATTTATGTTGAGACACAAATTAATATGATAAAACATATTTGTTTGACATGCAGAAATCATGATATGTATTTGTACTTATTTGTATGCCTAAAGTAGTGTTTAGTACTACAATACAATACAAAATTACATTTGTAAAGCGTCTTTCACGTCGGGAGGACAAGGAAGTCCCAAGACGCTGAACAATAGGGGGTGGGGGGTATCTTGGACGGTAGGAGGGTGGCCTAAGGCCCGGTTGAAGAGGAGGGTCTTGAAGTGTGCCTTGAAGGAGGCAAGAGATGGAGCGAGGCAAAGGGAATGTGGGATGGAGTTTCAGAGGGTGGGGGCAGAGGGGCTGAAGGCCCAACCGCCGATGGTGGGGTGGGCCGGGCAGGGGACACGGAGCAGGCCGGAGTCTGCTGAGCGGAGGGAGCGGACAGATTGATAAGGGGTTAGCAGGTCAGAGAGGTAGGAAGGGGCAAGGCCATGGCGAGCCTTGAAGGTAAGGATGAGGATTTTGAACTTGATCCTCTGAAGGATGGGGAGCCAGTGGAGACGATGCAGCATGGTTGCCGTTTACATATAAGAGAAAGCAAGCGACGGATCTCAGTCTTACGTAAAGTTGTGTGTATGTGCCTTTTTAAAAGCAGTATTGAAGTAGATCACTTAGTGTGTGAGTGGGCGATGGTACTTCAGTGTGTATGTCTCAGCCATACAAAATAGAGGGTAGCAGGTTTGAATTCCAGTTTATGCTCAGAAAGAAGTTCGAGCTCTGCAATTGGCTTTGTGGCCAAATGCTTTACTCTGCTCTGCCACTTACTAGGATTCCTACAATTGTATTAGTGAGGCCCCTCTTCTCTCCCTTTCTCCCACCACCCCTCTCCCCAACCCCCCCACGCCTCCCCTCGTGGTGTTTATGCAGAACCATGGAATAGTCATGGATACATATTACCATGAGGATGTCCTGAATAAGCCACAGACATTTCCTCAATATCACTCGTGTAGTTCAGCACCTGCTGTATTTGGCAAGCACTGAGAATGTTTACTCCGCCAATTCATGTCCCTTCCCTGTGCCTCTCCTGAACGAAAGAACCATGTTGGGTAAAGCTTCTGTAGCAGCAATAGCTTTCTGATAACTCAGCCCAGCGATGATTTATACATGAGCCTTTTCAGTGAGGGCGAGGAGGCAGTGGGGCAATGTGGAAGGGCAGGGGGAAGGGGATCATAGTTGAGCCCAGGTTTTATTCTTTCCTCATTACTCACACATATAATTCCAGCAGGAATCACTAGATAACAACAACAACAACAATAACAAGATTGCATTTATAGAGCGCCTTTCACGTTGGGAGGATGTCCCAAGGCGCTGGACAGTTCGGTCGGGACCCGAGCAGGGGGGAAATGGTCAGGGTGAGGGGAGAGAAGGGAGGGAGTGAGGAGGGGGTAGAGCGTCGAGAGGGGAGGTGAAAGCACGGTCAAAGAGAAAGGTCTTGAGAACGGCCTTGAAGGAGGAAAGGGAGGAAGCAAGGCGAAGGGACTGGGAGATGGAGTTTCAGAGCCTAGGGGCTGAAGGCCCGGCCACCCATGGTAGGGTGGTTAAGGCGGGGAATGTGCAGCAGACCGGAGCCAGAGGAACGGAGGGTACGGGCAGGTAAGTAGGGGGATAGTAGGTCGGAGAGGTAGGAGGGAGCAAGGCCGTGAATGGCCTTGTACGTGAGGATGAGATCTTGAATTCGATCCTCTGGGGGATGGGGAGCCAGTGGATAAATATTAGGCATCCTATCTGATCAACAACAACAACTTGCATTCATATAGCGCCCTTCACATTGGGTAGCATCTCAGAGCACTGATTAGGAGCATCACCACTACCATCCAGGTTGAGATCAATTTGCTGAACTGATTTTAAACTAGGATCTTCCTAATCCGTTCTGTACCATGCTGTGGAATGCAGTAACCTACTGAACGGTTGAGAAGTTTCAGAAAACAAGAATTGTTACAGAGTCAATTTATCTTCAACTGTAAAGAGTGAAAAGAAATCCTCAAAAAGTATATTTTATTTAGTATTTTTCAAAATGTGTAAGCAAATTGAATATTAGATGATTGACAGGTGTAAAATGTACATTTTAAACATTTTAAGATGTTTCTCCGTCCGGGAAAACATTTGACTTGTAACTGCATCAGATATAAAAGTTAAAAATGAACTTGGAATCAGATCCTGTTAGAAGCTCCAGCACATCACGATGAGAATGTATTATTCATAACTTTTATCTGTTATCTGATTTTAAATATTTCAATTGTTCAGATGGGTCAGAGCAAAGTATTTCTGAAGCATTGGCAAGCTGATCACCTCAATGAGCAGTGCGTACATTTACAGAAGAAAATTATAACCTGTCAGAAAGGTAAAAACAATGTTAAAATTATACTGTAAAATATACATATTTTTATAAACCATGTTGCAATTGCAAGATTTTAAGAGTCAAAAGGGACACATGTATTGCAACATGTTATCAGGCCTTATTTAAAATGTTTATGGTTTATATTTTTATTTTGAACAATTCAGAAATGTACACACAAAACAATCTCAAATCAGGCCTTTGTAAACAGCTGAAACCTAATTGTTGCCATTATGTTGTATTTGTCATCGATTGACTTGTTTTTGGATGATCAGTTTCACATTCCATTGTTTTGTTCTACATTATTGACTGGCGTGTTATATTGTGTCAAATGTGATGCATAATCTTTTCCATAATGGTAGTTGTCAGAGGGTTTCTAGCTCGCCAGCGGCTGCTGCAAAAGATGAACATTAAACAGCAAGAGGTCACCTCCATTGAAACCTTTCTGCAATCCGCGGAAGATATGGGACTGAAAACATATGATGCCTTGGTGATTCAGAATGCCTCTGACATTGCACGGGAAAGTGATAGGATTCGAAATGAAATTAATGCAGCTTACCTGAGAGAAAAGTTAGAAGCACGAAACAGAAATGAGGAGATCACAAAACGGTAAGCATTGGACCTTCAGTGTCAAGTTCACTGCAAAGATGACTTCATTTTTGGAAAATGTTGTAAGGGTTGGGGGGGAGAGGAAAGGCAATGTTTTTTGATAATAACTACGTAAAAATGTGTAAAAATGATTACGTAAACCATCCAAGAGCTTTAGATATTATTGTATTGAGTGGCGAAGGTCAATGCCACAGATAAAAGTGTGGAATTCAATACTGCAGTGAAAACAAATTACCTGCTGTGCTGAGATTTCCTGCATTAACAGTTTGATTTACCAGATGCAAGCATATGGTACTGTTTCAGTATTACTATTCTCGGCACTGATTTGTCACACAGAAACCGAATGAAACGATGCTGCTTTGAAGGTCTTGTTGCAATTTCAAGTCGGAATAATGATTTGCTCCGGTGAAATAGTTAAAGTCTACACTGCATCCTACCAGCTTTGTCAGGCAGGCTCAAAATGTGTAGAACAGCCCTAGACACGACACTGTTCGTTGTTGTGAATTTTCTTACTTGCAAGCAACTAAATTGATGGCACGGGAGCTTCGAATTCCCATCCGAATGGCAGGAAATTATTCAAAAAAATGTCTGTGGCTAATTATCGGTATTTCTGAAAAATCTTAAATAAAGCAAAAGGTAAAATGTTTTATGTAGTTTTAAATGAAAGGAGCAAAAATTTGCAGGACAAGAGAGCAAGCTTTGTTTCCTTGCATTTGTGTTTGACAGGATTAGTGCTTCCATCCTCGCCTCACAGTGGGGGTGTTGGTGACTTGTTTTCTAAAAAGCTGGTATTATGTTTGCATGAACAGGTTCATTGTTGTCATTCAGCATCCAGCTATCATTTTAATTTCAGATCTAGCAACGAGAGTGGAAAGGTCAATGGAGACAATCTTGGGGGCTGCAGAACGCCGAAGCATTTTCACTCAGGCTCCGCGCCGGTACCTACTTTTGTGGATGGGTTGGCACATTCTGTGATTGGATCATCCATCAGATCACCCTCCCTTCACTCAGTATTCAGTATGGATGATAGCAATGGCCTGCAGTCACCACGGAAACAACCTCCTCCCAAACCAAAGAGGGACCCCAATACCCGGCTGAGTGCTTCATACGAAGCTGTGACTGCATGCCTGTCGGCGGCTTCTAAGGAAACAGCACCTGAAGGTTTGAAGAATAATTCTTGGCATTCAGAAACAGGGTAAAATTTAGATGAAAGTGGGAGATTTGTTTTAACGATTAATCTGTACATTAATGACATAGGTGGTTTAGCATTCAGAATGTAATGTATGCATCTTTTAAAGATATCTCTTTTATTCTTGTTACCCGATACGTAATGTGCACTGCAGACAGCAAATCCAGGTAATCAGTTATTAAATGAAGAAAAGAGGGATAATGCTGCATTTCTAATGTCAAGGTATTAACACAATCTTACCTAAGCTATTAAAACAGATTTTACTGTGATTTAGTATCAGATTCTACTGCTCACTCGAAAAGAACTTGAGGACTGCCGTTACTATTCACAATGATTTCAGAATCCCACAATGACATTGCTACATCAATAACCCATTATTCTCTATCTGTTCTGCTCTCCATTAGAAAGATAATGTGTGCTGTCATATATATTCTGATAAGAACATTAATCCAAGTTAAAACATCTAGCTTCACATGTCACATCCGAATTTGAATATTTCATAGACAAAATGCAATCTAATATATATGCATGTTATACACACATCCGCTCATTAACTTAAATCCTCAGGGAATTAGAGATACAGTGAATTTTATATTTTTTCAACAATATCTGTTCAGTTATCTGGATGAAAACAGTCCAAATGTAATAGCTGGAGCATAATAGAAGAATGTTAAAGTGTGCAGATGTGTGCTGTGCTAAAGAAAAGCTTTATTCCATTTAAATTATTGGGAGATGTTGACTCCACAGGTCAATATTTAATCTTTGAACTTTTGCAACGCTGTCTCAATTTGTCCAACATCTGATCCTCCTGCCCCTAAACAGCAGCATCAGGGACCGTGGCATGTCAGTGAATTCCACAGAGAATTATTTTAGAACATACCTCACAATACATTGCAGATTAAACTTGTGGCTATTTTTTGTGTATAAGTAACTTCAATTGGAGATTTTAGGTGGCATGTGGGATTTTTCAAAACAGGGCTGGGTTGTACTTAATCCTATTATTTGTAACTCTCTTTGACAAATTTGCAATGCAGTTCTTAACAGTTACATGTTTCTAGATAATGAAGTTTAATTTCCATGATTCAAGTATTATTGTTCGATAGGGGAGTTATTAGATGCCACACCTCTTCAATGCTGGTGTAAGTTGTGTTTATAGGACCTGCAGGTTTGCAAGAATTAACTTGCCGTCGTAAGATGACCAGCCCCACACTAGGATTCTTGTAGTCAATACTGTTAGTAAACTGCTGGATAGTACTGCAAATAAAATACATAATCCTTGTATTTTATGCTATACAATCCTCACATTTAATTTAGCTCCTTAACATGTCATTGAAGTGCTTAACAGGTTATACTGTAAAGTGCAGTAACTGATCTGTGGGCGAACGTAGCAACCAATTTGCATACAGCAATGTCTCACAAATAGACATGGAGTAAGCGACCAATTTTGTTTGGGGGAATATTGGCCAGGAACCTGGGAGAAATGCCCTTCTCTTTACAAATATTGTCATGCGATCTTTAATGTCCATCTGAAAGGCAGATGCGTCCTTATTTAATTGGTTACCTCCAAAATCGGTATCTTCTCCAAAGGAAGGTATTGATACAATGGCATAAGACTATTAGAGAATCAAGACATTTGGTGCTAGTTTCACCTGATGGACTCACTCGCATCCTCTTATTGATCTGCTCACAGCTTCCTTGAACTTGTCGCTTCTCATCCACTACAACTCATTAGCGTATCATAGGAACATAATGTCACTCACTATCAACTGATAAGAATCTGATAATGGACACTAAAAGTAGGATTAAAGCAACAATATCTTATTAGACCACAAGCAACTTTAGCATATTTCTTAAAGCTGCACTATCGTGTTACATCTACTCTATCACACTTGGTCTACCCACTGATTGGTGTAATATCAGTTGACAGTGTTACTGTAAATGTGTTTGGAGGCTACAAATTCAAAGCTGGCTGGGTCGGGTCAAGTTTGAGTTCAGGTGCTTGATCAATAGCAGATTTCTTTCTTCAACAAAAAATTCAAATCCAAAATGACAAAAATATGTTGGCGATGAACCAAGTTTCCTCTGGCACGATTGGTAATGGAGCTTATTTTCCACTCACAGATAAATGTACACACTAAGTGTGTATGTTTGCTTATTATTCTAAGGTTGGTAGATTTCTGATCAAGTGGAGAATAAAGATAAACATCAAAATTTTAGTAATTTAGATCAATAGGTTTGGATCCATTTTGGTTCAATATTCCACCACCAGCAGTAAACTAAGTACACTTATAACTACGGGTTCCTATTCTCCACCCAGAAAATGATGTTATGGTAAATATGATGGAAGTGTTTAAGACTAGCCAAGAAAATTATTATATTGTATCCCCTAAATGGAATGAGTATTGTTAAATACATTGAAAAATATGCGCACATATGTTGAAAAATAGTAGCCAATAAAATATGTGTATAAAAACAATACACTTTAGAAAGGATATTCATTTATTTTTGTGACTTTTACCCAGCATTATTCAATTTGTTTAAGTAATGAGACATAAAAAAAAGGCATTTTATTTGAACTGTATGCAAATTAAATTGTTTCTGACACCTATTCTGTTTTCCTTCACAGTGTTCTTGACTAAACCGAGACCTCATAGTGATGATTACAGCACAATGAAAAAGATTCCTCCACCAAAGCCAAAACGCAGCCCCAACACTAGACTGACTGGATCGTATGAAGAGATCTGTACAAGGAAATCCTCTGCGACTCGGTTTACAAGCACAATGACTAAAGCTGCTCACAGCTTTGGGACTGTTCAGAGAGCAGCATCTGCTGATGGACCACATTATGGTCCACATGTGTCACAGGAAGAAGATAATGAGCCTGTTTATATAGAAATGGGAGTGACTGCTGGGGCAGGAGGGAATGCTCTGGCGGAGATGGAGAGTCCAGATCAGGGAGAATCTGTTTATGAGGAGATGAAATATTGCCTGCCTGAAGAAGGAAACACAATATTTTTAAAGCAGGCCACTTCTCCCCCACCTCATGCGGAGAACAAAAATGTGCCATTGTCAGAGGATTTCAAAATGGGCAGCCCCACCATGCCAAGTTGCAAAGAATTAGTATGCGACATCCCCCCGCCATTTCCAAACCTGCTGCCCCACCGCCCGCCTCTGCTTATATTCCCTCCAACCCCAGCACAATGTTCTCCTGCCTCTGATGAATCACCTCTCACCCCGCTTGAGGTCAAAAGATTACCGGTGCTGGAAACAAATTTGAATTATTCTGTACAGACGGATGGCACTTCACCCCTCTCCCCACAATACTCGAAGCACCCTAAAGGAGAAAATGAGCCACCAACATCTCCTGGCCTGGGTGTGTTCAGTATATCAGGAAAGGTGTCCCCTCCCCCAACCCCTCCTCCTCTCCCACTAGTTCCTACTCCTCCTCCGTACAGGCCACATTCGCATTTTACTTTCCAGATAGACACTTCTACTCCTTGCTTTGCCAATGCAGGAAAGCCAGCTGTGAGCACAGATGTTTCTAAAATACCTCAGAAACCAAATCCCTTACAAGGAGGAGCTTCATCTACAAACTCTCCAAGGTTCCCTTGCTCACCAGCAAAAACCTGCAGGACAGAACCTGGAAAGCATTTGTCTTCCTCAGTAGGGAATCCATCAATGTTTCCTCATTCTTCTATGATCCTCAGACCAATTACCAGCCCACTTGATGAGCTGAACAGTCTCTTTAGCTCAGGCCGATGTCTTCTACGGAAATCAACCACAGGAAGGAAGATACGGGAGATAGAGTGTGAGTAGATTCAGTTTCTGTATGTAAGGCACAGCAAGTCTATACAATTTCTGGAAGCTTGGTGTAAATAGAATTATATGTAAATGTAATTATATCAGCAAAATATCTACATAGCTGGGATTTACTTAAAGGTGAGTACAAATGCTTCCTTTTCTCTAAGGCTTCCTTTCACAAAACTAAAATATGATCAATAGGAAAATTATCACTATAAAAGCTTCTCTTTAACAAAATAAATACAGGAAAATAAGTTGAAAGCAACTTTAAAAAATCTAATAAGGGAAAGGCAAAAAATATATGCACAGGCATCAAAAGTTAATGCAGATTTCTCTCAGCTCCTCGAAAACATTACAGTAGGTACAGGGGAAACCTGTTATAATAACAATGATTTGGGTCCATAAATGGTCTGAGTATGGTCATCAATTTCTAGGCACTTATATCTCAACAACAACTTGTATTTATATAGTGCCCCTCATGCAGGGTAGCATCCCAAGCACTTGATAGAGGCGAGCACAATGCTGAGCTGGGTGGAAGCGAGTAGTTGACAGTAGGCACAGTTGAAGGGGAAGGTCTTCAGGCGCGACCTGAAGATGGGCAAGGAAGTAGCAATATAATATATTCTAAAATATAATAGGATATCATGATTGTGTTATAAAATATATATTATAAATACCAAGTTATTTTATAACACATTTATTATATCCTATTATCCAAATTTCTAATACTTTCCATAGCTTTAGTCATAGCCACCAACATCTCCTGGCCTGGGTGTATTCAGTATATTAGGAAAGGTGTCCCCTCCCCCAACCCCTCCTCCTCCTCTCCCACCAGTTATTGTTTTAGTTTATTTTTTATTTCAGACACCATGTAGATTTAAATAATAGCCAAAAGGATCTTAAGTGACAGATTTTGAAGCTCTTTTTGATATGTATGATAGAAACTCTTTGATGGTTCAATTGGTAAACACTGCTCAGTGTGGTACTGAACCATATAGACTAGGGAGGTCCCAGGTTTGATCCCTGCCTTTTGTCTAAATTGTCTCATCTCTGTTGGCGTGCCTGTTGGCTAGAAAAGAAAAAAAAATCAGCTACTTTATTAGATGCCACACCTCTGATCAAGAGAACTAAGTAGTACACATGAAGGGTACATCTTTTTAGTCATAGAAAGGATACATGATGTGAAATCTAGCTGAATGTTCTTTTAGCAAGGAAGATTTCCTCCTCCCTTCACCCCCCATTTTGTCATGCTTCCCATATTTGATAGAGTGAAACTTTCTTTCAGAAAGACATTGTTACTGCAACTAGAGTATTTGAGTGTTCTGAAAGACTTTAAAATGATTGGTTAACTATAACCCGTGTACTACACTTTACCCTCCTCCATAAAATATAAACTGAATTATTGATGACACTAACTAATCTAACTGTCGGTAATTGTATCAGACATTTACAATACAGGATTCCTGTATTGCCCGAGTGGCTGGGTTCAATGACTCCGGCTAGTAAAGCCTGGAAGCCAGGTGTACTGTACTTCCATTTAGAATGGGTCCATAATTGACATATGCTGTAAGCAAGGCAGTGTTACACATAGGGTGCTGTAACATGGTTCCCTGTATTCAATAATTCACTACATGTGTTTTTTTTACTAAGATTAGTAGTTTGAGATTAATAGAGATCTTTCCTTTATTTTGTACAATAGAATATTGTGTTCACTACAATGATAATAAACAGTTTATACTTATCACCATTACTTTTTCTGCAGTCACTGTGAAGCATAATAGTTAGAACTGTGGCCTTAGACCAGAACAGAGAATGAACGAAAATTCTACTTGGGTTAAAAAGATGAGGTTTCAGTGTCTTTCAGCATACATTACCTATATTTGAGAACTGCTTCCAGGTTTTTACTGTTGTGCTCTCAATCAACAACAGTCAAATCATTGTAACCATTATGCATAGGTCACCTGCAGAGAGATTGCACCACAGATGTTATATATATACAATTTATTATTACAGTAATTCAGCTGTTAACAGACCTGTACAATATGACTGATCACATTTTACATTTTGTTTATGAATATTGTCCATCAGAAAGTGACTACTCTACATTTCCAGGAATTATCTTAAGATTTTTATAGGAATTTCAGCATGTACCAAAGCAGCAATTTTCAAATGTGCTTAACAAAACCAAGATGAATACAAAGAGATATTTGAAATTATTCTTATCATAGTTAAGAGCACACCCCAGCACTGCATTGGAGCAAAGACTATATGTATATGTCCCAACGTGGAGCTTGAACCCAAAACAACCTGTTGGTTTCTAATTATAATTTTATTTGTTTACCAAAGTACTAATCTCTAGCTTCATACAGATTAACCACATATCAAACCATCATCAGCAAACAAAATTAATGTGCATTTTTATAGCACTCTTCACACAGGTAGAGTCTTTGAAGCACTAAACCATCAGTGCCCTATACATAGCGATGGTGTATACACTTGTCTCAAATAACAGGTAAAATTACCATACATTTGTAGGCAATTGCCAACAAAGTACACTGCCATTACTCTTTACAGTAAATCCTTTAAAGCACTTTGAGCTGTCCCTTTGAAGTGAAAGGCATTTTGTGCAAGGATTATGACAAATATTGGGAAGAATTTGATTTCCTTTAGGTTTCAACATCGTAACTTTGCCCAAAACTTCAAAATGTATAGTATCTCCTTAAAAATCAGCCCAATTCTGCCATTTCCCACATTCAGGTGGGGTTGTGAAGGGTAATTGTAAGAGCAAAACCCCAAAATATCTTTACACAAAAAGTAACTAACATCTGGAACAGGTGACCAGGAAGAATGGTTGAGGCCAGGACTCTGAACTTATTTAAAGAAGTAAGTTAAAGTGCTCCGAGAAACCATCAATGAAGGGCACTATATATAAACACAAGTCGTGACGGGAAGGAAATAGAATGAGCATTCTGGAAGAATAAAATCAATTAGGTCAAAAAGATTTCTGCATCCGAACCTATCTTTTGCAACATGGATACATCTTCACAATATATTAGTGAGGAATAAAGTACCCATGTTATTAAGTAATCAAATACTCACATTGTCACTCGGATATTATCAGCTTATCAACAACCCCACAAACACTTGCTTTTTGGGATCAAAGTTCTTTGTACTCTGTACATCATTGCAACAATAGAGATGGATACAAAAAGGCTGATCACAGGTTATTCAGTACTGCCATATAAAAACAGATGAAAGAATGCCTTCAGGCACTGAGGTAGTGTATTGATGTCAATGCCAGGAAATAATTTCAATGTAAGTGAAAATAATACCTTGGGAAGACAGTGGTGTGGAAGGAACTACTTGGAAACATTTCCTTTCCCCTTATACATTTTTAAATACCATTTAAAATTTCCCATGATAGGGCAAAATATTTTGATTGACTTGAAAAATTATCTTTATCATGATCAAAGTATAAATGGGTTGGAGATATGAAGGCAGGTTATATCTGATCTGCTTGGAAATTGCATTTAAATATTTGAAAATGACTGACATATCCCATCCCTTAAGCCCCATTACCCCCAGCCCTGAACACGAAGGGAGTGTTGGCCTAATTTCTGCTATTTCTTAATGGGATTTCTTAATGAGAAATCTAAATCATATAAATGAGGACTTGTTCCAGTGTCTGGAAGTAAGTCACACTAACACATAAAAAATCATGAATTAATTTTCATGCTGAGTTCCTGTAAGTCAACAGGTATTCAAATTTGCAGTATTTTTTAACAGGATTCCAGAAAGAGTCCCTTTAACAAAACTCCAAATTACACCCAGAGATGTGGTAGCAACTTCACCTCAATCTCCTTTATCCCCTGAAATTCTGGCTTTATTTGTAGAAGTTTAAAAGCAAGGTTAATCAGAACTTGCTGGAAGAAAATTACTATGGAAAACCCAAAATTGTGGGAAATCTTTCACTAACCTAGTGAACACCAGTGTAATTTCTACTGTTCTTTCTGTGTTCATTAGGATCAAATTGATAAGAAAATTATCTTTGACTGGTAAAGTGTCCCATTCCAAGAAAAATAATAGGAGAAGAGCTCATTTGAGAATAAGGGTCTGCAGTAATGAGATGTTGGCAGTGAGTGTGCACATATATATATATATATACAGTTGTCTCTAGATTGTCTACTTTGAGATAACTAGAAAGTAACAACTGTTCATGTATTTAAGTAAACAAAGGAGTAATTCCTACAATGCAAATTCCTGCCTTTCAAACTCTTCTCTGTACCAATATTTTCCTAAAGTATTTGTGGGCAAAATCTGAACCACCACTTGTACAACATTGCATAATGTCAACCTACTTTTATGCTGCTTTGCCTCCCCAAAAATATGCTTGTGTTACTTTTTGGATTAGTGATTTGAGAGAGTGCAGATTTACGTCATGGTGGCTCCTTATAGAAATCCATTTGGTTCAAAAAGTAATTGTTCTTTCATTCTCCTCATTGCTTCAATACTTTAAAAAGAGTATTGCATCCACCCCATGGATGATTACATGTCACTCTCCTGCTACATCTAAAGATGTTACTCAATCTTTTGTTCCTTTGCTGTTTGCAAGTAACAGCAAGTTTACTGTTTGGTAAGACTTTATTACTTTCTCTTATCAGCTTGCATAACAAGATTGGGGTCATTCTGAGGAAGAAGAGGCAATGGTGATTACCTCACTCCTTTAGTGGTACTTCAGTGTATCTGCAAAACTGTCAACCACATTTCTTCTTTACACTTGTATCAAATTCTTTATTCTTCCAACTAGCAAAGGTAGGCAGTAAGTGAATCAAGACTAATGCTACACCTCTCGTATTACAACAAAGTTAACCATACTACGTAGAGTTATGGAACAAATTATGAAAGGACGATTTGGAGTGGCGACATCCTCATTCTCTGAGTTAAGGTATACTTAATATCGTCTATCCCACACATGGATATACGTAGTTCCATCCATGAGTGTTTCACTTTCTTACTATGGACATTTTCAAAGTATAGTTTTCTGTTTAAACTGGATTATTTACATGTGTTTTGCATATCAAAGCACATTGAACATTTACACTTATGCCTAACCAGATGGATTGAAACTTCTTTCCTTTGTGCTGAAGGGGAAATTGGGTCTGTCAAAAACATCATTTTATTGTGTTTTTTTTAATTAGGTTCAGGTAATGGAGGTAGCTGGAGCCTGTCCAACAGAGACGAAAACTGTGGAACTGGAAACATTTCAGAGATGCAGGATAAAAACGCTAATAACCATGTGACCAGTCTATCCACTGCAATACCTACAGCTTCAGCACTGGAGAACAGCAATCAGCTGTTGAATGGTAACTTGTATTTCACTTATCAGTGAGTTGTTACTGATGTGCATGAGGTGAACATTTGCGTATGAAATCATTAACCAGAAAAAAAGGCTCTGATTTGTCCTCAAGATCCCATTATTGTCCATGAGAACTCAACATAAAATACTAGAAGGCTGTAAGGTGCAGCTTGTATTTTACACAGCACACTCTAATGGAAATTCAGGACTTTGATGAATTTCCAGATGTTTGGGAATCCTCTGTTAGAAAAAAGAATTACCAATGATGTGCTCCCAATTTTACTGACATTTAGTATTAGCTCAACTGATTAATTGTTTGGGTTTAACTGACCCCCACCCCCCTCAAAAAAAACAATGTTTTATACAGTGAAATTGGAAATGGAAAGGTGCAAGTTTAGTATTCTCTTTGTATGGACTTTTTATAAACCTTTGTTAAATATGCAATTTAACAAAATAACTAAATAAATGAATTTGATATTTGAAATTCTGCAATTATATACTGTTTGGAATAAATTATTTATGCAAGAATGATAGATTTTCATGGATTATTCAGGACACAGTTTTTACTTGGAATATTATCTATTAATTAGGTCACTTTGTTTTGAAAAGCCCATGACAAATGTTGGATTTTCAATGGAATTGAATACTTTTTAAGTCAGCTTGCAGCTGGTTTATTTCCAATTAACATAAAAACAGAAATACTTCACCTTTAATAGGAAGCACAATTACATGGTGATTGAAAGCACATATCAGCTCCCCTTGTAAGGTTTATATCTTCTGGCTCAATTCAATTAAACATTTATAAATTTTGGAATCTTTGTATTGCATCTTAAGCAGAACAAACTTACTTTTTTTCTAATATTATCAACTGTACACAAGACATTTCTTCTGATCAAAAAGAGAGAATGGCAGAGAGACCTGTGAACCAGTCACCTTTCCAACTAATGGGTAGAGGTTTAGTTTACTTTACAGGGAGATGTGCAGAAGACAAAAGAAAGCAACGTGTGCATAACCTTAGAATGGTAGGAATGGTCTCCCATCAGGCCCATGTTTTTCTAATTTACCATAAGAATACATCGCTGCTCATGTAGTTTTACTATACAGGGTTTCTAGATATCTAGAGCCTCTAGTGTTGCTCACACTGTGAAACTGTACTTCCATGGAATTAAATCAAATCCCTGTGAAGTGCTAATTAACACAGGTCTCCAATCTGAAAAGCCCAGGAGAATACAGATGTCATACTTTATCAGAAAATGACCTAAACAAAAATTCTGTGCTTGCGAAAATTACTGTTGATGAGTAATACTCACATAACACAAATTTCTTCCTTATATTCCTTAATAGTCACCTGAAACAGATGGAAAGTGGATGAGAAAATTGAGCAAAAAAAACCCCACCTAATTAACTATCATGATTAACATTGTAATGAACAGTGCCACTCTTCACAAGCATCTCATCTCTTTTGCTCAATGCTCACTACCCAAAAGTATCACATCCCCAGTGAAATTAATGGATACTTTACAAATGTTTGAAAATGTTTATACTGTGCCATATATTATGTTTACAGCCTAACTGTGTGGTCTATGGTAACATGTCAAAGCACGTTTGCCCCTTTTGCATGTTTTTGCTTAGGTGCTCTTCCATTTCAGACAGGATCTATCTTTCTGGGTACTGCCTTACTGTGGTTTATGCAGTAAAATAAACTGCTATTTTGACTGCTTATTTTAGTAACATGGAGCTATCTTGCTTTTGTAATTTCCAGCGTAATACTATTGAATTCCAGTGTAAAGGTTCAAATTTCTATAAGTGTTTGATGAATTACATTTTCAATAAAAGAATATATTTCAGTGTATTGCTGTTTGTGTTCCAACAAATTAAAGGGATAAATGTTACACTAATAGTTTACGGAATGTTAGTTGATACTATTTCAGGATGTTACTACTTTTTGAGTTTCAGTACTCTGACAAATTGCAAAATACATAGAACAAATGTAATTATTTAAGCACACAGAAAAACATAAACAGTGGAAGAAAGTTCAGGAGTTATACAACTTCAGGATAAAATTTGATAAGGCTTATACAAAAGAGTTAAGTGGACATCAACTAAACAGACCTAGATATTCTAATGCTGAATTTTATTCGATATTAGAAAATCTAGAGAGTATGGAGTCCTGTAGCTTAGTGGTTAGAGCAATCACCTCGCAAGTGAGAGGATCTGGATTTGATTCCCGGACAGGGCGAAACATAGTGTAACTTTCCTTACTCCACACGCCTCTGTTTACATAGCAGTAAGAAGGAACTCAGTTGTTAGTCAATTGGGGGATCGCTTTTCCAGGCGTAATAATCCCTTCAAATAATAATAAAAATTTGGTCACTCCAATCTACTTGTGGCACTGCTGTGCGCAATTTGCTGCCATGTTTTGCCCACAAAATATGCAGTCAATTCACTTTACATATTCTGTAAAGCTCTTTGAGACGTCTCGAAGACATGATAAGGAGCTATATCAAATGTAAGGATCATCATCATTATTATTCAAGACCTTTATGTGTCATGTCTCACAACTGAAATTTATAATTGGCTGAACTTTAAAATTCTAGAATAAGATAATTTGCCATTACTTTTACCACAACTTATTTTTGAAAATGTTAAAACTTGTGCATGATAGGTTTATACAAAATATTTAATAACCATGTTGGACATGACACTATCCCAGGTTGAAATGGAGTGAAAGAAACTGCTTTTGGTTCCATCAAGCAGTTTATTTTATACAACATCCACAGTTGTCTTCAGGCACATACGATAAAACACTTGGATTAAGGATACACATGCTAATACTGGAGCCATGAAACTAGGATTCTATTTGTACTACACATTGCTGCTTGCCTGTTATTTTAAACACTCTACAAGTGTGTTGTTGGGGGAGAGAAGAGGAGGAGAAACCTCTGTGTTGTGACAAGAGGCAACTTTAGGTCTCCTCTTTGCTCTCCTGTTAGCTGTCACAAGTGACGTATTTTTCTGATTAACAGCATATTACAACAACAACAAAATTACATTTGTACGGCGCCTTTCACATCAGGAGGCGATCCCAAGGCACTGGACAGTCAGTTTTTGGGACCCGAGCTGGGGGTTGGGGTGGGGGAAGGTGGAGGGCAAGGGGGGAAGGAGGGTGATCAAAGACACGGGAGAAGAGGAGGGTCTTGAAGAAGGCAAGGGAGAGGGTGAAGCAGAGGGACCATGGGATGGAGTTCCAGAGGGTGGGGGAAGAGTGGCTGAAGGCCCACCATCAATGGTGAGGTGGGTGAGACAGAGCACGTAAAGCAGGCCGGAGCCCGCTGAGCGGAGGGAGCAGGCAGATTGTTAGGATTAGGAGGGGTTAAGAGGAGTTAGGAGGTTGCAGATAAGGCCATGGAGGGCTCTGAAAATGAGGACCAGGATCTTGAACTATATCCCCTTTGGGACGGGAAGCCAGTGGAGTCTGGCAAGAATGGGGGTGGTAGGATCATGGACCCTGGTGCGGGAGGTGACATGAGCTACAGCATTCTGAATGATCTGCAGCCTATGGAAGGAGGAGTTAGGTAGGCCAACAAACAGGGAGTTTACATAGTCAAACCTAAATTTTATGAATGTGTGTATGAGGGTTTCGGTGGCCTGCGGTCTGAGACAGTGACAGAGCCGAGTGATGTTGTGGACGTGGCGTAAGGCAGTGTGGGTTATGGCACCGATGTGGGGTAGAAAAGATAGTTGAGGGTCAAACAAGATGCCAAGGATCTGGACTGGTTCAGTGAGGTGGAGTGTGCATCCATGGAATGGTGATGCTGTCAGCACCTGTGGTGTGGAGGTGCTGAGGGGAGCTAATCAGGAGAGCCTCAGTCTTGTTGACTTTCAACTGTAGAAAGTTCGCTCTCATCCAGGACTTGATGTCTGACGGACATTCTATCAGGACAGCAGTGGTCCTGGTGTCGAGGATGGAGGCAGGGAGATAAAGTTGGGTGTCATCCACATGTGGAAGTTGACCCCATGTCTGTGGATGATGTCACCAAGAGGGAGCATATAAATATTGAAGAGGAGGGGACTAAGGACAGAGCCCTGAGGAACACCATACTAGATGGTGCGGTGGCTGGAGGCGAAACCATTTGTGGAGGTGAAGTAGAGACGGTGTGAGAGGTAGGATCTGAACCATTCAAGGACAGAACCATGAAGGTTGCGGTGAGAGGAGAGGTGGTAGAGGAGGATACAGTGGTCAATGGTATCTAAGGCAGCAGAACGGTCGAGGAGGCAGAGGGAGCTCTGGTCACAGATGGACAAAATGGCATTTGTTACTTTGATTAAAGCTATTCCAGTGCTGTGGGTGGCATGGAAACCCATTTGGAGGGGTTCTTGAAGGGGGAGGAAAGCGTGAAGTTGATTAACGACTTGCAACAACTTGTTCCAAGACCTTGGAAAGGAAAGCGAGGTTGGAGACAGGGCAGTAATTTGAGAGCAGAGTTGGGTCCAGGGAGGGTTTTTTAAGGATAGGAATGATAATGGCCATTTTTTAATGGGTGGGAACAGTGCCAGTGGATAGGGAGAGGTTTATGATGTCTGGGAGTAGAGGGGCAAGAAGGTGGAGCTGGGAGATAATGAGAGGGGTAGGGATAGATTGAAGGAGCAGGTGGTCGGTTTCATGTGGGTTATAGTGGTGGTGAGAGAGGCGGGGTACAGGATTGAAGGTGTGGAGTGAGGGATGGGTAGGGCCCGGGGTGTGAGGGAAAGATGGTGAGGGGTTAGACAGCTGAGCAGATCCCCTCGGCTTTGGTTTCAAGGGGATTACAGTATTTTGTAATGTGAAAATATTTTCCATTAGGAAAAAAAATGTCTGACTGCAGGCCCATCGCAAATCATTGACACACTGCTATCTATGAAACTCATTTTTGCTCCCCTTTACTCCAACATTAATGGCCAAGCTTTGGGTCAAAACCACTTCCTAATCTTTCTCCACGCCTTAAAAAAAATCTCGATCAGCATTTT